AGGCACTAGCAGTTGACATCAGAGAGTTGAGAAGTAAACATTTGTCCAACCAGAGGGGTTCAAATGAAAATTAGACATCAGTTTTTTTTATTATTAGGCATCTATTTCTCCTTTATTTGTTAAGGATGTTTGTTTGTATTACATAATTATGTTTCTTCTCATATTCAGGTATTTTGAAGCTTATTGAAGCATGCTTTTCATCTCTGCCCAATCCCGACAATAGTTTGGAATCCAAAGTCGTGTTTCAGTTTTTGCTTATGTAACATCTATTATTAATTTTAATATTTAAACAGAGCACAGAAGATATTCGCTCAACTGACCAAGATAAGTCCCTCAGATACTTCCGGAGACATTTAAGTGTGTGCCCATTTGAGGTCTAAAGGGATCCAAATCCAACAAATACTCCTATAGCCAACAAGAGCCAAAATTTATTAGATGTTTGGGACTTCTAGAGAATGTGAGAAGAAAAAACTAGTTGTCTCCTTTTCCCAAATAAACTATTGAATTGAATCTATCAAGGTCCATCAATAGGAAGAGTAATGTTATTAGTTAAATCTGCTAAATTTATTTAATTATTTCACTACAACAAACAAAATGTCTTCACCTCTGAGGAAAAAAAATATATTTCTAAACATTGAAAGGCAATAAGGTAGAGATGTTTACCATGGGTCCGCTTGCAACATAACGGAAACCGATTGACTCTCCATAATCTCTCCAGAAGGCAAATTTTTCAGGCGTTACATAGTCTTTGACAGTAAGATGCAATGGAGTTGGCTGCAGGCAAGGAATGGCAGTAATTTAATTTCAGTCTTGAAAATATGCTTCAAATGGACCAAAGGAACTGTCGATGGCCTAATAAGATGAAATTAATATTTTGGCAACCTTAGCTAAGGCATATCACTAAAGAAAAGCAAAGACTGCTATTTTTCCATTTTGGGAATATACTTACACATCGCCATGAGTTTGCTTCTAGCTATTCCGGAATGTCAAATGAGATTTGCAATACCAGCATGTAACAATAATACTTGTTAACTTATCAAATAAATAAGAAAAAGAGGTATTGGCAAGGTCATCCAAATTCATATGGTTCTTGCATAAGGCAGTAATAGTTGTCCCTGGTAATTTTCTAAAGTTCTGAAGGCCAGATTTATTTACTCGAAGAGCCTAGCTCGTAAAGTCCTCTGCATGTCAACCTACCTGTAAATATTGTCCAAGCGTCAAAATGTCAACGTCCATGGCCCTTAAATCAGCCATGGTTTCCTTCAGCTCATCATCAGTTTCACCTAGTCCCAACATAATAGAAGATTTTGTTATCATCCCTTGCTTGCTGAGCTTTGCATGTTTAAGAACAGATAAACTTTGTTCATACCTGTACCATGCAATTAAATAGCTTAGCATAGTAGCACTAACAAAAAACGTGGATGTTTATTACAATGAAACAGAACCCAAGATTTTAACTGAAATGCATTTAGCTTTCAGCATAGAAATAAATAATTTTCCTGATGATGGAATTCTACACTGACTCGAAGGGAAATGGCAGGTCGTATCTAACCATTTTTAACTGAAGAGACTGCTGCGCCAATAGATTTTGAATTAAAAAAGTTCTAAAAACGATTCACTTTATCTCAAAGCTGTAAATTTGAGAAAGACCCCAACAAGTTTAGTATGAACACGTGCGAACCAACTTAGAAACAACTTAATAAGAGCACTCTATTTAAGGCAAGATTGACATAAAAAATAGTTGGAAAATGGCACTTTCAAAGTTAAAACCAAGAAAAAGCAAATTAAATAATTGTCCTTTGCACAGGAAGTACAAGTGTGATCACAAAATTTGAGTATTTTTCATTTTGTATTTGGTGGAGACGTCGGGGAAAAACTTAATATAGAATACCTAGATTCACTGAAGGTTAGATGTTATACATTAAGAGGCCAACTATGCACTTGGACTGAATTGATGGAGTAACTTCTCAATCACTTACCCAGCCCTAGGATCTCTAACAATACGCTGCAGTCGTTTCACGGTTTCAATATTGTGAGCAAAAACCTCTAATCCAGAGTGTACTAGAGTGGATACAGCATTTAGGTCACCTCGGAAATCAGAAGTTAAACACTCGACCATAATATCAGGCTTGAGAATCTGCAGAGAGATTCATATTGCACGTTAAAAGTATTTATTCTAGTCTTGTTAGTATAAAAATAAGTATATGCATGTCCCATTTCTACATTTTTAGCGTCAAACATATCCGAGTGTATTTATAAATCTTCAAGAAGTATGCACATATGTTCCATGAAAGCTGAAGGCAAATCAAGTTTCATGATGATAGAAATGCTCATACCTTCATGGCTTTGACTGTTTCAGCAAAATGGCTACTACCACCATCTGGTAAATCGTCACGGTCAACACTGGTTAGAACAATATAATCCACACTGCAACAGGAAAAACAATGCAGTAATCAGTTTCTAAACACATGTAAAATCAAACCTTAGAAGTTACGTGACTTATGAGCTAATGTAGGTTTAAACTAATGGATCACATGAATCTCAAGTGTAGTTCAAGAAAGAGGAGTTGACAGAGAGAAGTATAAACTCCCAATATTTGAAAAGTTTTTAACTGTTCTAGACATCGATGAGATAAACTGGTGATATTGTTCTGGTATGCCCTAGCAAAAGACTAAACAGAGGACTCAAAGTAACCATTTTCAAAACTAGGTAAAAGAAGAAGGGCCATCTAGATGCATTGTAAGAATCAGAAACCGGAGACATTAATAATAATAGACAAGTAAGAAGGTGCAAAAAATGAAAATCTCAATAAAAAACCATTTTGGTAAAAAATTCTTTAAATGATTTCAATCCAGCTTCGCTTCTTGCATTGAAAAAAGAACTTGTATTTACTATTTATACTCACAATTTTTCAGTCAACAATCCTCAAGAAGAGTTCTGGTTACATTCATGTTAAAGCGTTTGGTATGCAGGAACAAAGATATGTCACTGGTTTATTGTAGTTTTTAAAGAGGAATTTATATTCAAACATACTTGGCAATAGGTATACAGGCGTGGTCTATACACCATGCACCAATACTTAAGGATAACAGATGGAATCTCCTCAGTAACAAAAGATGATAATACATCTACCTCGAAACCTGTATATCGTGTCAAATTGAGATGCTTCATTAATGTTTTTCCATTTTATGCAAGATAAACATAGACGCCACTATTGTCTCTCAATACTCGTCATAAGTTAAAGACAAACCAAAAGAAGTTCCTAGAATCTCACTGGCAGTTTTCCAAATTATAGGAAACGCACCTTTGTTTACACTTACATTTCAATTTAAAATATCTCACTCACCTACCATTCATCTATGATCCCGTTCTAGTATATTTCTTCTTAACAATAAAATTCCACGACAAAATTGAGATAAACTTCAAGACTTTAATGTAATATTGACCTGTTCAAGTATATTTCATCTTAACAATAAAACCCCACAACCAAATTGAGATAAATTTCAAGTCTTTAATGTAATATTGGCCTAACTAACTAGTTACCTTTCTAGTAAAAGAAGAAAGTAAAGAACTAGTCCAGCAAAAATTCAATAGCAAGAGAATTATATACCCCCAACTAGCAATGGCTTTAGCAGTGTTGTAAGGCTCCATAGGATCGGGAGGAGCCGGATTCCTACTCGTCTTGACAGCGCAAAATCTACATCCTCTTGTGCAGGTATCTCCGAGCAGCATAATCGTTGCAGTAGCAATTCCATCCCCACCGCCATTCCAGCACTCCCCAATGTTTGGACACTGCGCTTCTTCACACACAGTATTGAGTTTGAGCCTGGACAGGGATTCTTTCACCTCCTCGTACTTTTCCCCTTGTGGCGCCTTCTGCCTCAGCCACCCAGGCTTCTTGACATTCGGGTCTCTACCCGTATGCGGACCCACCCCACCCGGGTAAGGTGGGTCTGTTTTCACTGCTATGTCATTGCTGGTGGCGGGCAATTCACAGCGGATTGTAGTATTGGATCTAATGGTGGACAAAGAAGGGGGATGAGAGAATGGGATCTTGAAAATACATTGGTGAATCATTTTATGATATAGTGATGAATCAAAATGAATGAACACTAGAAGAGGAATTCATCAAATTCTGGGTTTTTTGGGAAGTTTAACAAGTATTTGTATCAGCGTAGAGCCATTGGAAACTCCGTCCCTTATTCGGTTTGCGCTTTGTTGGCTGCCGCTGCTTTCATGACGACTCAAGTCCAAAATTCGAAGTTGTCAGTTATATCGTGCAGGTAGGACGTGGACACTATTTTCAAGCCAATTTTCACACAATTCATCTCTGTGTACAACGAATTTTACAATCAGCCCCTGAGCCACCTGAATATTTCCATTGTCATCCTTCTATTCATTTTTAATCATTCAATAAAATAATATTTTTATTATATCAATTACTTTTTCTCATTTTTTAACTGCGAATTCTCCATCAATCCACTATTTCAAAATACATTTTCTCGAAATAATGTGGCTCAAACACATCATCAGTGTGTTGTCAAGATTTTTATTTTAAAAACAATTTTTGAAAGGAGAATTTGCAATCGAGGTACCAAATTTTTCAGTTAGTTGCTGATTTTGCCCAAATATTTTATTTGTATCACCCACGGTATCAAATCTTTAAAAAAATCGCAGCTTCAGTCCTCATTGACGGTTTCGATCCGTTTGATCACGAAAATTATTAGTTGACCCAAGAAATAAAAAATAAATTATAATTTCCACCAAATCGATAAGAGCAATTTCAAAATTACACACTTTTCCTATCTACTGTTGAACAATTGCAGCCCTTAGAACCTTGACAATGTCAAATTTCATCCCTAACTTGAACTTTGGATCATCCATATCAATGATAGTGTTAAACCAGCACTCATTTATTTCACTTCACGTTGCTTCTGGATTGATACATGCGTGTATAAATTCAATAATTGTTTCTTCAAATTTTAACAATTTTAGCTACTTTAACCACAGGATTTTCCTCGAGTTGGCCTCTCTTCCGGTAGCTTTGTAGCCGTAGCTACAGTCGTGCCTATTGAATAACGATTATTGGCACAGAAGAGCTTGCCGCATCTGCATCTAAATCCAATCAAACCTACTTTCCTCCGGCAACCGGAGCAACGATTCACCTCTCGCTTCACTAGCACAACCTCCGCCGAATCCGAATCATCTTTCTTTAAACCCTGACTGATCTCAACAGGTTTCAATTTTCTCTCAGGCGAAGACCTTGAGGACGAGCTGGATCTAAACGATTTCTTAGATCTGGCAACCGCCGTGACAACGGAGGATGCGGAGCCAGCTGCTGTAGCGCTGAAACATTTCTTACACAGATCATTGGCCACAGAATTACCAGCAACACTGCATTTAACACACAGCATGATGGTCTACAGCGAAGTGCAAAAATTGATAGGGAAAATGTGTAATTTCGAAATTGCCCTTGTTTATTTGGTGGAAATTATATTTTTCTTTTATTTCCGAGGTCAACTAACGATTTTCGTGGTCAAACGAAAGGAAACCGTCAATGAGGACTATAGCTGCGATTTTTTTAAATGTTTGATATCGTGGGTGGTACAAATGAAAGGGTTGAGAAAAGTCTGCAATTGACTAAAAGGTTTGGTACATCGGCTGCAACTTACCCTTTTTAAAATGATCTTATTTCATGTATATCAAGAATTATATAATGTTACACGGTACTTTACCATTTGTCATATTAAAATACAATCAACTCTTTCATCCAATTTTTTTCCCTCTACATCATTTTCGGTAACCGCTTGTGCACTTTTTTATGTATAAATAGCAAAATCCTTTTAAAATGGTTGGATTGATGTCTATCAAGTATGAAGTAAAGAAAAATGTACAAGTAGTTCGATTGATTTTCAAATTGGTTAATTTTATTTTCAGTAATGCTAGATGCTCATTCTTCTTGTGGAAGTGACGTGATAGATGTGTTCAAAATCAACGGCTTCAAAGGATCCATGTGGAAGAGTGTCAACAAAGATGTAAATGAGATTATACACATAGCAAGATTGTTTTACTTTTCTTTACCCTTAATTAACTATCCTTTGTTTGATTATTATTATTTCTAAAAATAAAAAATAAAAAAATCTACATACTCATTTCCAACTACGCATTCACACAATAAAATATTTTTCAAGTAAACTCAAAAAAAATTTATTACTATTTAACCACACATTTTTCAAAAAATACTATTCAAAACTCCATTTTATCCAAATAATGATTGTCAAACGGGGACTAGAAGTTAAATAAACCTAAATAATGTTTAGCGTCAATTTTTTAAAATTAATTTTCAATCTTACATTTCATAATTTTTTTTTATCAAAATCTACTAAAAATTTAATTTTTTGCCACACCAATAGGGAGCTCAGTCTCCATGTTAGCCTGATAGACGTCATATTCGATTAATGACCGCTAACCTCCAATTTCAACTTGTTTACCATTAAATAGTGGTGAAAAACAAGATTATGTTAAGGAAGCAATTCCGGTTTTTTGCGGAACAGCCTTTTCTTCCAAGGATCGCATTTTATTGGATGTGTTATAATTTTTCCTATATTAATGCGCAAGAGAAGGATACTCGATGAAGAAATTTTTTTGATAATAAACCTACTAAGATCAATCAAAATTTATGAAACCCTATAGGGGAATTTTGTGGATTAATGAAGAAAAATGTGCATGGGTCGAAGATGAAGAGGATACGTATTGGGAAGATTGGTGCATAGCGACAGAAAATCGCTCTATGAAGACAAAAATGATGCAAACTTCGAGCCTATAGTACATGTCGAATGGAACTTAGGGGCAAATTTGTTCGTATAATGATCTTAACATTGGCATTGTTGTGCAAGTTCGAGTTAATGGAGAATTGTGGTTTGTTCTTGTCAAGTTGCCATGGAGAATTTTAGTTTCCACAGTTGTTTTTCTTATATCAGATATGAGAAGGGCTGGGACATATGAAGTTGAGGAAACAATCAAAACCCACCAATTTGGTGAACCGACAAATATGATCAAAATTACACTATATCGATTATCGATGGACAGTACCAAAAAAATTAACCAACGCCAGTTTCTCAGTCTCGTAAATGTTACCATCCAAAAATGGTGGAAAAAACCTACCAAGAAAGCCCTTAATTCCATACTATATATTTGAGGGCTATTTTACTAAGCTTAAACTAAAAGGACATTCAACAATTCTTATGACACAGGGAAGTCGGCCAAAAATACTTTATGCAGCAATACTTTGACGGGATAAAATTGAATCAATAGTCACAAAAATTTCCCAAGTGCAGCATTCTATAAAACAACAAAAAGTGACAAGTTATGTGCTGCTTCTCAAGTGTTACAGGTTCTCCAACCTAACAAAAATTGATGTGTAGCCTAAGCTTCTCAAGAACCATTGGATTAGCCCCAAGTTTACTCTTCTGAATCCGAACCATCAACCATCTTCTCCAGCGAATCCATATCCCCAGCTTCTGAAACGGTGTGTAGCCTCAGCTTTTCAGCATCTTCACTGAAAGTGATTAAAACCACAGAGACAAAGATCATCAATAAAAATAGAAAATCACGCAAACGATAGCTGAGAAGATTTAAGAGGATTAAGGTGCTCACTCTGCTACTCCAAAAATTTCTTTAACGGTTAAAGAGCTATCCCTTGAACAGAACTCGGGCAGCTGGTACAAAGTAAAGTAAATTGTTCAACTAACAGAACAAGATAATGAAAAATCTTAGATCAACCTGTAATAAATAGTAAAAGATGACCGGGCTAAACACCAATGGCATGTTTGGTAAAGTGAATCAAACGGTACACAATAATAATAGGAAAGAAATAGAAAAAAAAATTGTCCATTGTACAGTGCACTAGAATCTAACACTGCTAATCGAACATTCAGCTAAGGGTCAATTCAGACCAGTACTAATGTTACGAGACATTATTAAATCAGAGTCATTAGTACAGCCAGCTATTAGGCTAGAATCATCATCTGTTAACAACACTTTTAAACCTATCCTAACCAGCCCTCGTTCGAAACCTAACTAGGCTCTCAAAAAGTAATTGAACCCACCTTAAGTTTATTTTTACAGTTTCTTATCTACATCGAAAGAAGGTAGTGTTTTTTACATGTGGCAAGTCTCATTCATGTAAAGTAATTCAGAACAATAAAGTAGTTGAGATAATGTCATAACAGAGACAGTGCAGTGGCTCACCTCAGACAGATAATAAACCTTTCCAAAAAGAGCTTGCACTGCAAGTTTTCTTTTGAAACCCTTTTCAGAATATCCTGTCATATCCATGACCACAGGACCTGAAATGCATGCCCATTCTCCATCAGAATATAAAAATGTAGCATCAACTTGCAGTTGTTCATTTTCCCAATTAGAAAAACAAAACATGAAGTCCATGTCAAGTGCTCAACCATAGAAGAAACCACCCTCCACCACATCCTCCAGGCTTCAAAAGAAGGTGCTTAACAGCTTCAAAATATGAAGGGAAGGCACCACCAGCAGCTATTAACAAAACATTCAATGTGTAATTATCCTAGCCAGTAGCCTTGACTACTCAGGCATTCCCACTAATTTGAGTGCAAGTTCACCAGCATTTAGTTAATTGTAGAATATGATGTACAAACGAGTCTTCATGCAGTTCAATGAGTGACATTTAGAAAAGAAAAGTAAATACACTGATGCTATTGTTACCTTTGTCTTTCACGATCCTTCTTGAAATTTCATTCAGAACGTTAGTGACTTGAGAATCATCCAACATTGATGCTTTCCTAAGCTGGATCAAATTTGCTACACAATCTGGATTAAATGGCTTCTCATTCAACACATATCTTATATACTTTCGTAAAATCTCCTCCATGTCAAAACCAGTCTGGAAAATGTAACAATGTTGTCAATTTAAGCAGCTTCTGGTGTCAGACAACTAAAAGATCAGAAGTTCAGTAGCAGAAGTATGCTCCATGCTTTGGACATCAATGCCCTTGGTGTTTCAGGGTATTAACTGTTAATGTACCAAAAACTAATAATATTATGTAGAAGACTTATAACACAGGGTATATTTTGACATTAAGATAGTGGTCTTCCACCTAAGCAGTATCATGTTTTCTCAAAACGTTGAGTAGAGGTCGTCCACCTAAACCAACTATGCTTCCCACCACCATCCAACGAAGAAGAATCTTAGCCATCGAAAATGCAGCAGCCAGGAATAATCTAAAACTTCTAAATTGTTAATCTTTCGTCTTCATCCATAATTTTTTAGTATCTTATCTTGTTCTATATCAACCAATCACTTCAAGAAATATATTTCCTATAGCCATTAAATTCATGATTCTCATGGACAAATTTTTGGACGTTGAATATAATTTGGTTGAAATTACCTCAAAGGTACAAGTCCAACAGTGCAATGCAACATGAACAATCATGTTATTCTTACATGCAAAAAATACATCTAATATAATGATCAACTGCATGACAACTTTCAAGATAAGGGAAAAAAAATTCTCCCTTCTTCTTTTAGTTTTGCTATTTGTCCTGCACGGGAATGATTCTTTAAGCTTAAAAGGTGCTTAAAAACACCTTTTTTGGAAACTAGGTAGATACATACTTTCAAAGAACGATACTTTTAAGCACCTTTCTACTTAGCCGAATATTTCTTTGTAGTTAATATGAGCAAGGCAACGGTTCATTTCTTTTTAGGGGTCCGCCCAAAAACTTAGCCCCCGCTTAGCCCCCATTAAGCCCCCGTTTGTTTCTCATTTTTCATCCATAAAAATAAAAAATATGACCGTTATCCATCACATCAAGCCATCAATTTTGAATTTCTATCTCTTGTGTGAGCCCAATAACGGCTATATTTTTCATTCTCATTCTACAATAATGAGAATCAAATGGGCCCTAAATTAAAATCCATTCTCTCTCTTTTTATCAACCACACATTTTTCAATAAAATAATATTACACGTAAATCTAAAAACTTTTCCTTCTTTTTAACCACACATTCTCCAAAAAGTTACTATTCCTCTCATTATAATGTGGAATAATGGAGCCCAAACGGGAGCTTAATCATGGAGCCTAGAAAAATATGCTACCAGCTACAACGCCAGTTGTTAGTCATTCAACCTACATTTGTGCAACAATATCAACTCCAATCAAAAGAAATTGTATACGATTCCATGAAGTGAGATGTTACATGAAATATTAAATTCTGAGACCTAAAAAAGAGATTACTAACCAAGAATAATAAAATCTCTCTACGTTACTGTATTGTTGCACATGATTTAGAAGCCAAATAAATACCTTTCAAGAATATAATAATATTATATAGAAATATAGATATAAAAGGAGCAGCCAGTCACCAAGATGAACAATTCAAAAGGCTTTGTGCAAGTAAAAAGTAAAAATGGTGACATTTTTTTACTTTTTCTTGACATGGTAACAGTGACATTGAATTGAACATCGAGAACAAAACCATTGATAAATGGTCATGCAGTCATAGAGTATACCGGTCACTTATCAGCATCTCACCTTCTGCATGAGTCCGTTTAATGCCAATTGATCTAATTCATCTCTTCCTTTCTCGAACATCTCATCTATGGATTTGCATAGAAATGCATTTGTATTGACCTGAAAAGTTACATCCGTCAGACAGTCAATTATGACATCAAATAATCTCAGGCAGCTTCCAAAATGATTTACAATTCATACTGAGACTTTATTAAAACAAATGCCAAATAAACTTCCTGGAACATACTTTGGCAAAGCGATGAATATAGATGTAAAACATTCCCGACAAAAAATGGAAGAACTTGTTCCCTTGTTGAGGATATGTACTACCAGAGTTCCAAGAGGTTATGTGAATATTCTTCGAAAAATTACAAATCCTGATTTTAGTTTCCCTTATCTGATATATACAGGTTTTGAATCAGACCAGAAACTTTATAATTGGGTTGAGCACTTTCAAGGTAAGTATACATTTCCTATCTCGTACATAAGTACGTGTGCAAGTAAAATCAACAAAGTCTTATCCCAAACATTGGAAACACACCTCTCCTTCCACTTTGCACTATCAAACGTCATCTCCAAGATTAAACCATAAAGGCTCAAATCTTTTCTAATTACCTCACACCATCGACCTCTTCATCCATGGTTCACCGTTCATATATCTTTTTCACGTCTAGGTTTTGAATCAGACCAGAAACTTTATAATTGGGTTGAGCACTTTCAAGGTAAGTATACATTTCCTATCTCGTACATAAGTACGTGTGCAAGTAAAATCAACAAAGTCTTATCCCAAACATTGGAAACACATCTCTCCTTCCACTTTGCACTATCAAACGTCATCTCCAAGATTAAACCATAAAGGCTCAAATCTTTTCTAATTACCTCACACCATCGACCTCTTCATCCATGGTTCACCGTTCGTATATCTTTTTCACGTCAGTCCATTAAAAACCTTCATTAAATAGTCTAAACCATCTTAATGTTCCTCATAATTTATCTTGAAGGGGGTAACTTAGACAATTCACAAATGTGCCCATTTCTTATTCTATCTCTTTCCCTTTTACTGCAAATCAATCTTAGCATTCCCTTCCAAATTAGAATCGAATTATGCAGATATCATTTTTCTCAGCAGCCGAACATTTATATAGTATAACATCTCTAGTCTCGTGGAAGTCCTATAAGGCGTGTATAGAAAATCTAATTTTTACCTTCAATTATATTGTCAGTGAGATTGTGATTGTAATTCTCTTGCCAGAATTAATTTTGATAGGAAGCGCACGTTTTTCTAAATATATTCATCAATTTATTAAAAGAGTTAAAAACATCAAACAAATTTCTTTAGATATAATTATATGAAGTTAAAAATAGAGAAACAATATCAAATGGGGAGAAGAATAGGCAGACAGACCAATTTGCGACGCTTCTCCCTGGGAGAATTAAACTTGCGAACTGTCTTAACAACTGCAATGGCAAAAGTGATGCTAAGATAGGCTAACGGAACGGCAATAATCCACGGCAGGGAGCTCTGGCCCACACGCGGGCCGGGAATGGCCTGCGTGACTGATCCCGTGAACTCTACCAAATCCAAAGCCTTCTCTTGTATCCAGGGCAATTCCTCCTCTACTTCCTCTTCCTCAACTACTTGCTCCTTTTTGGTGTCTTTACTGTTGTTACCGCTTGACGCTGCTTTGGCTGTAATTACCCGGGCGGGCGACGGAGATATTGATAAAAATGTAAGGGAGGACGAGAATGGGGCACTTACGCTCTTGTGTTTAGTTCCGGGAATCAGGAAGAAGGACTTGGGATTGATATTGCTACGAGTATAGAAAGAACAGTAGCTGATAAGGCTACATGTAGAAGTGGCCATGTTACGCGGTGGTGGTAGAGGCAGCGGTGGTTCAATTGGCGGAGAACCCAACACCTCCGAGTAGGGCAGTGTGCTGGATGAAGTGGGTCAGATATTGAGTGAGGTCTCTTACTTTCAAATCCAATTCCTTTTTCAATAATATCGAATAAAGAGCATATTTTGAGTCTTAATTTTACTGTTTTCAAAAAATATTTGTTATTTTTTTCCATCTTTTATTTTCACCAATTTTTCTCTAAGGCTCTGTTTGATTCGCGTAATTTTCCATGAAAGTAGGAAAATATTTTCCTACTTCCACTTTTTTGACTGTTTGATATGCGAAATTTTCCATGGAAAATGTTTTCCTCCCTTTTTCTAGGTACAACCCTTTGATGCACAAATGGTGGAAAATGTTTTTTCACCTATTAGGTGAAAAAATATTTTCCAACTTTTTTTTTTTTTTTTATTTTGCAATGGGAACAAATTCTAGATACAATGGTAAAAAAAAATTTCACTTTTATTGACAACTTCCATGCAAAACAAAGTCAAACGAAGAATATTCGGTATGGTAAATTTTTTTTTTTCAAATTTTTTTTTTCAATTTTTTTTT